TAAAAAATAATTATTATTAATAAAGTAAATAAAAAAAGAAACTAAATAAATATACCTGTATATTTAAACTTTCTATAGCCAAAGTTTGCTCCTACAGTTCCACCTGGCGACAAAATTCCAACACAAGGATACAAAGCAGTTTTCAAATCTCGGAATGCAATTCCTTAAAATAAATAATAGATATTAAGTCTCTATTATTTAACTTAAAATAACCAAGAATTTGTAATATACCTAGATTCACTCCGTTTCTTGTATAAAATACCGTATTATTTCTAATGTTTAAACTACATCCGATAGTATCACCGGTCATAAATTTTGGTCCATATGATTTGCCATCATTGTTTAAATACGTGTTTCCATCATCACCATGATAACCCCACGAGCTATCTTCCCAGCCTGCAATATAAATAATTCATAAATAATTTATTAACAAATTAAGTTGATAAAAAGAATAGTAAAGTTACCTGGCATTTTATTTAGGCTAGCTGATTTTGTACAAAACCCGATTCCAATCTCCCTTTGGAATTTGAAAAATATAATTATCGGCAAATTTAAATAATCAATTTATATATAACAGAAAAACAGTATTTTAAAGTTTTAAAACATACCCATTTTCCCCTTTATCTATAATGTCAACTTCAAAATAAAATAAGCCACATTGTTCAGGAATTGGAAAATTTGCTCGAATTGCAGCACAGTTTTCTTCTTCACCCAGACCTTTATATTTGAAAATAATTGTAGTTATGCAAGAATAAGTGATTCCATACGAAAACAGTAAAATATAATTGTTATACAACATGAAATGTCCTAAACTCACCTGTATAAGTCACTATAAGCTTGTCTGAACTTAGTCTTAAAAGATTACGTCCATCATCAATATCCCATGCGGTTGGTGATTCCATATTGTTGTGTAACCCTATTAGCAAGAATGAGTTTGATTATTGAAGGATGATGATAGCTTGATTTGTATGCCTTTTACCTTCTTAGTGGAAGCTTTAAATACGTTGCAGTTTAATTTTTTATTTAATTTTATTTTTTAAAGAAAAAAAAACTTTAGATATTAGATGCATACATGCCAATTTTTCATGCATAATTTGTACGACGTTAGGCATCCATTTATTTGTAACAGGTTCATAAGTGTTACTAAAAATTAAACAAATATCTTAAATCAAAAACTATTGGCTGATTGTATCATCATCAAAATCCCGTAATATTCCATAAGTTACAACAAATTAATAAATCCGTCATCAATTACCAAAATGCGAAGTTTAAATTTTGATATATCCAATGCATGTTCAATTGATAAAAATCCTGTCAGTAATAATTATGCCGAATGATAAAAAGTTATTCACATACATCGAAAGGACATCGAAAGGATCAGTGCTGTATTCTTTATTTTATTGTGTACTTTACTAACTTTACTAATATTGCTAAAAAAATGATATAAATATTTGTAAAATTATAGAATATGTTTTCTTTGTTCTTAAACCGCTTTTATTTAAGAGAAGGTGAGTAGACATTTGCAATTAAGTTTATTACAAATATTTTAATTCACTTGAAAAGTTTTCCATTTGCAATTGTTCATCAAATTTGCAGGAAAGAGTATCATTAAACCCTATGATATCTTTTTAATAAAATTTACATAAACTTAATAGGATTTAAATTCTAAAGACGTATTTGTAAACTTAATCTCGTCTTTAAAATAAATCAAACATAACAATTAAAACGGATTAAAAATATCGGTTATATACGATTTATTTTTAAATTGGCTTTACGAAAAAATAAAAATAAATTAAAAAAAACATACATATTCATAAGAATAAAATAAAAACTTCTGTAATATCAAACTTTTAAGAAAAAGAATAGGTATTCACATAATTCAATTTTAAAAGTGCAAAAATCATATTTATTAACAAGAAATCATTTATTTCTCTCTTGTTCTTGGCGGATTTTATTGGCAAATGCTTGAGCGTGAGAAGCTATTTAAATCCATAATATCATTAGGCTCGATATAAAATAAAAAGATTAATTATTAAAGATAATTATTACTATACCTGCAGTATCAGGTGGAATTACACCCCCATATAATTTACTTTCCTCACGGTTCAGCATACGTGAAGCATCGTTAACGGCTTCGGCATCAACAGCATCTATGTTCTGCTCAATTGGATTATCTTGAACTATTGTTTGTCCTCTAGCTGCACGATCAGCTATAGATTGTGCTCTAGCGGCAGCTCCCCCTGCAGGTGTATAACCTTTTGCTTTTTGCTCTTCGCGCTGGAGATTTGAGGCAGCTCTTTTTACTGTGTTTGGATCCATGTCTTTTTTTCACTTTTTTTTTTTTTAAAAAAAAAAAATTCGCAAGATTTAAATTTTTGGGTCTTTTTATAAAAAATTCGGTTTATGTCGATTGATTAAAGAATTAGATTTCTAATTTTCGTCATAAATTGATTATTGCATTTAGTTATTATGATCGGCGTAAATAGGCGCAGCAATTATTAATATTAAATTTTATCCACGTGTATTTTACTTTTTTATGAGATAGACAAAAAAAAAATATAAATAAAGTTTTATTCTCGTAAAAGAATCATTTATTTCATAGATTATCTCAAAATTAGGATGATCATTAATTATAAGCTTTTTAATCAAATTAGGTAAAACGACTTCTTAACTATGAGCTAATATATCATATGTTTGGAGTCTTAATTAATACTAATTCTGTTAAATTTTTACGTACATACGGGTAAAGATTTTGTAGATCAATTTCGCAATTCTTTTCGTACAAGTCACGTGCAAAGTTGCAGGGCAACTTCTACGGATTTCGATGGGCTTCAACAGATTTTCGACGGATTTCGACGGATATCAATGGTTTCAATCAATTTTGACCACGATTTCAATTTTGAAAACAAAACGTAGATTTTTTCGGACCTAGACAGAGATTCAGACAAAATCTAAATTTTTCAATTTTTCAGGACCGAATTTCCCATTAATAATTGAAAATTATCTATAAAAGGGTTTTGATACCCATCGAATCATCCATCTTCCATCTTCGAAACTTTTGTCATTCGTTAGCAATCTCAGTCACGAGACTTGATTTTTGAACAATTGAGGGAGTGAATTTTTTATTGGATAAAAATTCGGGTGATGCAGATCGAACCGCAGTACGAATTTAATTTTTGGTTTTTCTATGTATGCCCTATGAAAAAGAGTTGTACAGGTTTTTCGTACATATTTTGTTAGGTGTATACTGAATCATATAGTTATTTCAATTAAAAATAATCGTACAAAAATTTAAAATAGAGAAAAAAAAAATTTGAAATTTGAAATATATAAAAATTGTACTGAAATTGTATTGAAAAATTAAAACATACAGAATTGTTTAGTATTTTATCAACGTGTAAAAAATTTAATATTACTAAAAGTGGGTAAATTAAATTAATTAATTTTTTACAAAATTGCAAATAATAAAAAACTGAAATTTAAAACCTTTCTTGGCGTTAAAAGTAAACCTGCAGAGCAGACAAATATGATAATAAATTTAAGCTAGGAAATAATCATACAAAAACTTTATTGACTAGTACAGTGTATATTCCTAATTCAGATATTGTAGGAAAAATATGCTAAAAATTTTGATCGTGCAGGTACTATGGTTATTTCACGTTTTGGCACGCTGCACAGTCCAAAATTGTAGTGTTTTTTTTGGCACAAAAACTGCACAACTGTATGGGATTTTTTTCAGAGCGTATGGTTTTTTTAAAAATAATACTTGTATGAGTAAATCCATATAGGTACGGATTTTTCGTATTTAAATGTCTTTTGATTTTAAAATTGAGTTACGAAATTATGACCATTACTTGATTGTAATAGCACATTCTACTCGTTTAACATATATATTAATACAATGTAGAATTTAAAATTTTTAGTTTTTAGTTACTATTACAAAATATAAATATTTTATTAAATTTTCATTTATTATAGAAAATAAAAGTAAATTGACAATAAACTTTGCCTTTTATTTATATAAATAAAATTTTGTCCAATCAAATAAAATTTTAATTTGATTGATAAACGTTATTTTTTAAGATGGTTTTAATATTTTTTCGTAAAATATACATATATACCATGTATAGAAAACAATCCCATACTGATTGCTATATACCCAATTTTTAAAAATATTGTTTTAAATTCTCCCATCAATTTGATTCATTTCCAATGATTATATGTGATAGAGAATGTAGATATAATATCATTATAGAATTTTTGATTGAAAAATTTCAAATACAATATAACTTTAATTTCAATATACAGACGGCGATCAAAAATATTCGGACAAAATTTTTAAATGTAAAAAATTTATAAATAATATAAAAGTAAAAAAATTTGCTTTATCTTTATTTTTTAATTTTTATAAAAAAATCCTAATACAAATATTTATTTTATTGCAATTTGCGACAAAATAACGAATCACTAGAATCACTAATTTTCTTTCCAAACGATTTATAGTATTACATATAACAATTGTACAAAATGAAAGTTTATGATTAAATAATTCATTATTACAATTCAAAGAGTTAATATTTCTAGTCAACGCGTTAGTAAAGTAAATATAGAAAAAAAAAATAATCAAATTATGACGATCTACTATGTCATGCAATTTATTGTACTATGAACTCTTTTTATATGAGAATTTCTCAATCATCCTTCACAGTAACAATCGGAATTAACATTGCTGTGATTGCTCCTATAAAATACGAAACTGGAAATTAAAAATAATTAAATGATTTAATACTAATTTGCGACGACAATCACTCAATGTTGATACAAAAAAAACAAAAAGATTTTGGTAGATATTCCAAGCAAAATAAATCAATTCTAAGTATAATAATATGTGTATTATAAAATAGTTTCTGGATCAATAGTTCGGTAATTATCGTGCTCACCCATATGATCTTGTCTTGTTTTTTGATAATTTTATTGAGATCAAAAATAAACTACAAATAAATTTTTATATCGGAATAAGCTACATTAATATATTTTAAGCAAGTAAATAAAAATATACATAATACTAATAATTTACAAATGTATAAATATAATAATAAGTTCAATAAATCAGTAATAATATTTAATGAATCAGGGATAACTAAATGATAACCTTTGTGAGCAATTGCACTTTTTTGAGCAATTGCGTCGTTGGATGGCCAATCAAATATGTCACGTTCATCTTCATGGGTGGCAGCAGCCTCAGAAGCAGTGCCAGCCACTACCTTGTTATGTATCCATACAGTATAACCTGCACATTCTATTCCATCCAACCAATATGTATAGAAATGGTTATTAAAAATTTAAATATTTTGTCAAAATTATTAAAATTTACCTTCAATGAGAGTAAGCATAACTAGGCCAAAGATGATTGAAATGATTATAGAAGATTTCATGACGAATATTTTTTTTAAATAGGAGCGTAAGTATGTTTTGATTAAGTTTTGATTCGAATTATTGTATGTGTATTTATATGTCGAAATTTATATTTTCACATGCTTTTATGTAAAGATATTCAGATTTTATTTTAATTACATATTTGTAAAGTAATATCCGAATATCCTATTTCATACGGAAACATATGATATTTGATGTAAAAAAAGATGAAATGATACAAAATATTGAATATCCATCCCTCTAGCTTAAGATTTAATTTTTGAAATTTTATTTTGTATTTTATATTAAAGAAAAAATATTGATAATGAAAATCTAATTCAGCTTCATATCGATATTCATCAAAAGCAGGTAATTCTGATGGAATTCATTCCTTTATAGGTGTAGCAATTTATTTTCTATATTTATTGGGCCCGTTCAAATAATTAACGACGATAAATGAATGAAAAATTAATTGCATCTTATAGTAAAGGATTATTATGCAACGTGATGCTTCAAAGTTTGACATTTTTTTTATAACTTAATTTATAAACCCTAATTGTCAAAATTTATAAATATGATTTGAATATCACATGATTATTATCCACTTGTGCTTAGCTTATTACCGATTCATTATTCTTATGATTTCTTGCATTTTTATCAACTTTGTAAGGAAAACAAAATCAAGTCAATTATCGGCGTTAAAGTAATTATTCAAGATGACAAAAAGCAGTACTCAGTAACTATCTACCCGCAGAATAGTGCGGGTTATAAAGAATTAATAAAAAAAACTTTTGCTGGTTCGGAAAGCCCCAGCGAGTATTGAAGGATAATTGTATACTTCAGCAGTCATTTTTAAATTTTTTAGAATCAATATATTTTTTTTATGCATGGTATGGATTGTTCTAACGGGAATAATAATGAACACAAATGATATTTGTAAAAAAAAAAAAAAAAAAAAAAAACATGAAATTTACTGAATTTTCATGGAAAATTCTGTTGCAATTTAGTCCATTTTCGTCAGAACATGAACAGGTGCATGTTTGGATATTTTGATTAAAGATGCACACCTCAGTATCTACCAAATATTTAAAAATTTGCGTAAATTATAGTTCATAAGAATACTCTTATAATTATAGAACACCAAATACCTTCGCAAAATGGTGCTGGATCTGGACATCCCTTCGCGTTGACTGATGTCATCAAAGCGCAAAAAAATGTAATTAACCAAGTAATTTTGTTATCAAGTTTCAAGTTTATTTCTGATTATATGGGTGGTATGCTATTAAAATTGAGGTACGAGACATAGTAAATCATATGATCCGTACTTCAATTTTAATAGCATAGCATATCACCCATATTTCTTAAATTATTTTTGATTTGAATTTTTTAAGAAAATTTTTTTATTTGATAGCTTTTGACGTGTCCTTTTATATAACAAATCAATTGTTCGGCACATATTATATAATTAAGAATTCTTGTCTTTAACTTATTAATTGTATCAAAAATTGGTGTTTAATAAATTAATTACAGCTGTTCTTGGCAATTTTTGAGGCTGTATATAATCATGTAACAGTAATTTTTTTTTCCAATATTTGATTGAATCGGCATCAAATAATTTCCAGTCGTCTAATATAAGATTCGATGTGTATAATAATAGTAAAGTTGAAAATTTGTTGCTTTAACACAAATTAAGTACTTTAACCCGTTGTAATAAAAAAAGTGAACTATCAAAATTTTCAACCCGAAACTGCATGTTAATTTTGTTTGACCCCCATTCGATTGATCAAGAATATTTTATCCATTTAGTATTAATTTTGAAGATCTCTATTCGAAAATGGTAAAATCCTTGTCGGTCAATTAAATTTAAATTAGATTTTTATATACTGCAACTGATAAATGTTATAGTATAGATATATAGATATTAAATTCATTTAGACAATAATTTTAGAATGATATTTTCACATCATATAAAAATAAACGTAATGTAACTTTATATTACATAAATTGAAAAAATGTATTTATACTGCGGCAAAATTAATTATACAAGTTACCTTTTTAAAAGCTATTTTTCGTCATTATTACGAACATTAAATTTGATAGGTTGGTATATATTTTGCTGATAAAATTTGCAAACAACAAGAAAAGAATTTATCTATAATTGGGTTCGGAATCGAAAGTCAAAAAATCGCCAAAGTCAAAAATCGATTGTAACAACGATTTTGAATCTCAAACTCGGCAAAATCGTTTAATGTTGATGTGAGAATTGATTTTCATTAGTCTGATTAAAAAATCGGTTACACAAAATCGATAACTTTTCTACTAGTAAACAATACGAAGTCAAACAATGGTAAAATTGATTCGTTTATTATTAGAAATTCTGTATGAAAACTTGATGAAGGATTCATTTTGTGTATCGAATTAAGTGAGCAAACTTAAGCTAAATTTATTTTTTAAAAAATGTCATGTGACAGTAACAACTTGTGGAATATAAAACATTTTTAGCTTTTATTTTCTAATAAATAAAGTTTATAATACAAAAATTTGCATAAATGTTGTTTCGTTATAGTTTTATAACTGTCTGTTCTATACTTTACTTAAAAAATTGAAAAAATTAATACCGATTTTGCCGATTTTAGACTGGAATCGAAAATCGTTTTTAACAGCCGATCAAAAATCGATTTTTGCATCGCTACATACAAAGCTAATGAAACTACGTTATGCTGATAAAGTGAAATACATAAACATTCAGGTTGTAATGAAAACAATAATTGTGGTTCAGAGTAAAGGTATTTTGAATGTATTCATAATTTTAAAGCTTTAAATATATAATATTTTACAATTATTAATTTATAAATGAAAATGTTGTCTTAACAATTATTGGAATTGAACGACAAAAGTCCAATGAATTGAATCGGAACGGTAAGCTTGGAATGATATGCCAAGTTCATTAACGCTACCGTATTAATTATCCACAACCTGATGTAAAAATGTTAAACCATTTCCTTTTCGATAGATGTGAATTACATCCTATCATCCTAGTATTCTCCATGTCCTATCACCGGATCCTTTCTCCCATTTAGTCTTTAAAGTTTTCATTTTCCAAACCAAGATCTGTAAGATCTCCTACTTCAGATAATTCTTAACGGAACTTTCAGCCTACTCTTTAAGATGATAACCATTTTCATAGTTCATTCGACTGGTGAGTTGCTACACACTCCTTAGCTAATCCCCAACTTCCATGAATACCTTCTGCTGTCTATATGAAACACTCACCTATTTTGTAAACTGAATAAGCGTAAATTTAGTCTCCCGCATCAACTGTTCTGCTCACATAAATTGCCCACATGAACCTCTCATTTATCCCCAACATTATTGAGTAAAATTCAATTTCATTAGGACAAAGGAAATTTTGTATTATAAAATGAAAGAGTTACTAAATATATGATATTAATTAAAGCGAAATGTTACTACTGCTTAATAAATTCAGTATGAAGCTGAGATTTTTATTTCAAGAAGTGTGTTTTATTTTTTATTTTATAAAAAAAAAAATCATTATATTTTAAGGTTAGGAAATTTTTGTTTGTGACTCAAAATCTGTTGACAATTAAACTAAAAGAGCAAATGAATCTTAAAAAGGAAATATATTTTCTTTTAATTTGGTTTGGTGGCTCTTTTTTTTTAAAAAAAAATAAATAAATATCATCCACGTGATAATATTGAATCTTTACCTTAAAATTTAGTTGCTAATTTTTTTTCTTTATATAGATAGAAACATTTATTATAATTCTCTTAAACTTCTGAATGAAATAGAAATGTTTATAAAATATAAAACTTCAGAGTGCATATTATTTATTTAAGGATTGCTACGATCGCCAACTTTAATATTTACAATTTTTAAGTTGATTAAAAAACTTGATCGAAATATAATAATCTTTCAGATTTTTTTTTTATTATTTGTAATTGATTACGTGAATATAAACGTAATCTAATTAGCATAAAGAAAGGGATGCTAAAAACTTATCCCATTTTGTTTAAGCTTCCTTATATGTAGAAAGTTTTTAGAATTCTCTACCTTTTGTTCACTTGGATATTTTGGTCGTACAAACCAATTGCGTAACTCATTAAATTTACCAAAAGATAATTTTACGTCAAAATTGATTTATCTATTTCTTCATTTAGTTATTTTTATAATCAGATATAATTTATAAGGAATTAATTTACCAGTAAATAAATCACCCATTCCATTCGCAGAAAGAAGTTCATTCTTATGTTTGAATAAAACTTGCAATTTCCGGAATTTGCCCGTCACGGGACTTTAAATTTTCTATAGGATACAATGCAATGATTGCAATGATTACTTTAAATATTAGATTTAGTATTTTTAGTACATAAGTAACTAGTGGAAAATGTTTTTGAACTATTTATTTTTCCTAGTCGAATTACAGGTATGCGCTTCGGTTTAAATTTATAAAGTATAGTACAAATTACCAATTTTATACAAACGTTCATTATGTAGAAAAAAAAGAAATTAATTTAATTAATTAAACAATTAATAAAATTTAATACATATAAGTCCTTTCTTAAAAATTCCTCTGGATTGCAAATACTGTAATTTTTTATTTTATCTCTTATTATGTCACGGTAATTCTAGTTCATTATTTTCGGTATTAATATAATAAGATGTACATTTAGCCTAATTAATATAGAATTATATATTAATTAAAATGTAGACAATTAAAAAATACATAACTTTTATTAATAATAAAATATTAAAATACTTATTTTAATTTTTAAATATATTAAAACATGTTACATAAAAGAAAATTATGTACCAACCAACTTTATTTGGTAGGACAAGGAAATAATTCAAACAGCTAGTTTATTTATGGAAATATTACCTGTAGGGAAAAATATTATCCGAGGGCTGAATAATTTTCTATGCAAAGTTAATAAAGCTATAAAAACCACAAACGTATTG